CGAGCTGAGGCTCCAGGAAGAGAGCGTGGAACGGCACCAGATCAACATCTACCTCAGTGACCGCATCTCGCTGCACCGCCGCCTGCCCGAGCGCAGGAACCCGCTGTGAGTCCCCGGGTGGGAGGAGGTGGGCTCCGGTCCTCGCTTCCCCCCTCCAGGGGCCTCAGTTTCTCCATTTGTCAAGTGGCCGGGTGTAACTGGAGTTTCTAAATGTGTGAGCATCGCGTGTCCTCTCGAAAGTGGGCAGGGTAAGGGTTCCAATGGGAGACAGAGGTAGGGAGGCAAGGAAGTGGAAAAGAATGATAGAGAAGTATCAGAAGTTGACTAACCTGTTACATAGTGGGTTTGGCTCAGAAAGAGGTGGTTGGGGTCTAAGCACGTAGATCTTGATGAGTCTTCTTTGGACCCCGTGGGACACTCTGTACAGCCCCACCTTGCCCCTGTCTTTCTGGCTGCTTTGTAATGAGACTCGGGGACAGGAGCAGACTTGGTGTATTCATCTATGTGACAGATCAGCCATGGCCCACGCTGGGAGAGAGGACCAGGCAGGTGCGGGGAAACCTGCCCTCCTTGTCAGCAAGTCCCCTAGTACTTTAGAAGGAAGGCAGAGAGGAGCTGCTAGTGGGAAAGACACCTTCTGGCCGTGGTCCATCCCCGCTCACGGCAGTGGGTGGTGCTAGCCCCAAGCCTGAGTGGCCAGAAGGCCTAGTTCCTGTTGGCGCTGCTGGCCGAGTGAATGGGTGCCCTCAGAGTGGGCATGAACAAGAGAACAAGCTGGCAGCAGGAAGGGTGGGCAGGGAGCTGTTGCCACCTTTGCCACTGGGCCTGCTGCCTCCCACCTCTGCTAAGAGTTGGTGGTGAACTTTCAAGGCCCTGGGTGAGCTCCCTTCTTTACAGACTTTAAGGAAAAAGAGAGTTCAGGGAGCTTGTCCTTTGGAGGAGGCCAACTTGCACTGCGAGTTGTCACATATCTGCCACACCTTTCTCCTCCGTGTCCTTCCTGCTTTACAAGCGTGTCAGCAAGTGATTCACCCAAGGCTGCCCCCCCTTGGCACCTGGCTGATGTCAGATTTGAGGGCCTGCTTTGCAGAATTGAGGCCAGCAGGAAGATAACTGAGGGGCTCCACCCTGCCAGTCCTTGAAGGCTGGAGAGACTCACACTTTAAAGTCTCTTCCCTATTTTTTTTTTTTTTTTGCATCTCCTCCTTTTTAGCTTTACTCATATTTCTGCCCAAAGCATTTTCACTGTTAATATTTTTGACTAAAGCTTTGTTGGAATTGATAGCCTTCCCCACTTTGTGCAAATGGCTTAATGCACATTTAATTTCTTGAAACCCCAAGGGTGCTGAAGCAAAATCTAAGGAAAGGAACCCCAGCTTTCAGGGAGAACCCAACCCATGGAGATAAGATCCTGTTTGTCTTGCTTATCAGCTACGTGGTCCTGAGTACACTGTGTAGCTTCCTTATTCCTCAGTTTTGTGTAAAAGAGGGAACCAGCGGAAACAGCATAAACTGTGAATTAAACACCTTACACCGTGCCTGGGAGCAAACTGTGTACTCTGTTTTTAGGAGTTTCGCCCACTTTTCAGGTTTCAAGAGTATACCCAGGGGGCTGTCTTTGAGTCATGTAGAGATTGGTTGTAAAGACTTTTCCAGGATCCAGCTTCCTTTACGGTGCCAGGTGGCAGCTTTTACTTTGAAACACGGGTAGAAAGACCTATGGGGCTTGTGGTATCCAGTCGCCATGGTGATATAGCAGCCCTGTGTCCTATCAGGATTGTTTTCTAGATCCTGCTGTTTGCCTTGACCCTGGGAAGTTAATCCAAACACAGCGGGATAAGACCTGTGAACGCCTCCTCCTTTTAATTCTGACAGCAGGGCCTGAGGGGCTATTCTTGGCCAGCTGGAATGAGAGGTGGGCTTGAGCAGCGTTGGCCTCATGGGCTGGGCCTTGAGCATAAACTTGGTGTGGTCAATAAGGTCAGGGCCTTTGTGGAGAGCTAATCAGAGTCCTGAAAGGTGGCCTGAGAAACTGGAATGGGAAATTCTGAATTCACAAGAGCTTTACTTGAGAGTTAATGAATACACAGGGTTGTCGTACTTGTGAATGTGTGCTGTCGTATTGATTCCCTTCGTGACTCTATCCGTGTGACACGATAGAACGGACTCAGTGTTTTCTAGGTTTAATCATTCATTACAGGAGCAGATTGACAGGTCTTTTTCCCAAGAACCACTGAGTGAGTTTCAGACCGACAACCTTTTGGTCATCACTTAGTCTTTGTGCCACTAGGGATCCCAGCAGAGAAACGATTAAACCCACCACTGCTGAATCAACTCCTACTCATAGGGGCTCTATCAGACCCTATTAGACAGAGTAGAGCCACCTCATAGGATTTCCAAGGCTGAAAATCTTGATGGACAGAATGTAACATCTTTCACATCTGGTCGGTTTGAACTAGTGAACTTTTGGTTAGCATCTGAATGCCGAACTCCTGAGAGGACTGGTGAGAGTCCTTGCATACTCAAGGAGGGAGGGCCCTGAGGAGGCCTCCCATCTCAGCAAAGAGGAAAAGACAGAATCCACAGTCACACATCTTGTCTGCAGCACAGCTGGTCTTGAAAATGCATCTTGTTATCTTCATTCTTTTTGTAGGGGTGGGTAGAAGATTGTTTATTTTGAAAGTTAAAAGTATTTTAAAAGTAAAATTATTTTAAAAGATTCTTTATATATTTATTATAAGAATAGAATGTTTACTGAAAAAATTTTAACATATAACAAGTAAAAAATAAAAATCACCCATACGCCTATCTCAGCCTGCTGTTCACATTCATGGTTTATCTTTCTAGCCTTTTCTAGGCATAAATGTTGTTGTTAGCCACCTTTGATAACAGCTCCCTGGCTGATGGCAACTCCTTGCACAGTAGGGCAAAATGTTATCCGTCCTGGATTTCTGAGTGAGCTCCTGTGATCCAAAAGGCTTTCGCTGACAGATTATCAGAAGGAGTTCACCAAGCCTTTCCTGCTAGCCCATCATAGTCTGGCAGTGCTACCAGAACCTGTTCAGCATGCTTTGGTTTGGAAAAATACTCATTTGGGTGTTTGAATGAGAACATCTTCAAACATGAGCCTACACAAAGGCCCACACGTGTTTTAACTGGCGCCTTTGCACTATGGTACATTAACCTGTTAGTAGCAGCAAGCACTTGGACACCAAGGGATTCTTTGGCTTGGCTCGTCCTGGCATCTGCAAAGCTTGACCCAGTGTACTCTCTTGGACAGGACCAGACCGATAAAGAGACATTTTGGACTATTGGCTCCAATAGAGATTCTGTGTAGACCAAACCCATCTGGAATTCTTAATAATTTACTTGCCGGTGGGCTACAGCACAGCTTTGTAGAAATGTTCACACAGTAGCATAATAAGTATAAGTCGCTCCTCATGATGTATATATAGGTCATGTGTTAGACTTTAATGGAAAGGCTGGTAGTTCCAGTCTGCCAGCTGCTCCATGGTAGAAAGATGGGCAGTCTGCTCCTGTTAAGATTTTTAACCTCATAAACCTGGTTGACACACTTCTGAATTGACTTGATAACAGTGGGGGTTTTTTGGGTCTGGTTAGTTTTTTAATAAGTCAGTAGAGAGTTTGCACAACACTTAGATCATCTTGTTTGATCTTAGCAAGGAGGGTAACTTTCACTCTGAGGTGGCAGCAACTCAGAGTGGTGAGCCAGGTAGCTAAGTCCACAATCCTGGGGATGAGACCTGCCCTAAAAACAGTTAAATCAGGATCTCTGGTGGGGCCTAGACTGAGTCTGATGTGTAGCCAGGGCTGAAAGCTGCTGGCTCAGAGCCTGTGGATTTCTTATTTAGAAGATTCAGGGTGGGTGCTTTTTAAGGGTGTGGAGGAACCGCCATGGTTAGACAAAGTAGTCATTAGTAGGAAATCACATATAGTTGAATCTAGTGGTGACAGCAAAATTACTTGTAAGATGTTCTCACAAGCAAATAGTTTCTAATACCAATAAAATGGTGGAGTTTTTACCTTCCATGCAAGAGGCCTGGTTCAGTTTCCAGCCAGTTCACCTCAAATTTCAGGGGAGCTTCTAGACTATAGAGGGATTGACTAGAAAGAAGTGCCGGGTGATCTACTTTGGAAAACCAGCCATTGAAAACCTTATGGATCACAGAGGCCTGATCGTCTATTCATCACAGGGCCTCGGGACTGAGTAGTGTTGAGTTCCATGATATATGGCATCACCATGAGTCGAGGCCAACTCGACTGTAGCTCAAAACATACAACATTGATAATGGCCCAGTGTTACAGAAAGAATTTCATTTATCACTATACTACTACTTTCAGTTGCATTTTAACCCTTTTAGAGTTTGTAAAAAGGTAATTTATGCTGTTTATCTGTGAGGATGTCATGCATATGAACATAAGCCATTTCCTGCTGTGAGAATCCTAGTTGAGAAAGCATGCGATTAATGCACAAATGTTAGTTCTTGAACTCTTGCTCTGTGGTTAAGAGCTTGGCTGGTAACCTGAAAGATCGGTAGTTCAAATCCACCAGCCGTTCTCTGAGAGAAAGATGTGACAGTCCGCATGTGTCAAGATTGATAACATTTCTGCTCGGTCCTGCAGGATCACTGTGAGTTAATAACAGTGGATTTTTGTTCTGACTTTCCCTTAGTTAATGGCATAATTGCAGATGCGTATTTGAGTTGAGAGCTTACGATTTAGACGTGAGGATGGCAGAGAGTCTCAGAATAGCTTCTAGTAGATAAATTAGGAAAACATACTCTTGTCTTCCTGGGATTGACAGGAGGGCGTTGGTCAGGTAATCTCTGTAGATGGAGAGTCTGCTTGTCTAGTCTCAGAAAGTTATCTTTGGAAGTGTAGAGGTTACACTGATGTGTGCTACCTCCCGTCAGGTTGTGAGCTGCAAGGTCTTTTATTCGTTGTGGCTGTTTCTAAAGTATTATATTGTGGCTTAGGTGAAAGTTTAGTTCGTTTCCCACTCAGCAGTTGTTGACTGTGTTGCATTTCCATAATGTGTCAGCATTCTCATTTCCGTTTTGAGTTCTCCATTTACATTCACCCAG